TGTCACCAGCTACCAGCAGGGCCGCAACATGTTAGTCAGTCATGTGTGACGCTCAGCTGCTCGAGTGGGTTGCGCAGTGACTGAATGTTTGAGTGTTTGATTCTTGACCGCTTTTGTTGTACTTTTGCTGCTGGTCTTGCGAGTGACACCAGCAAGACCTGTCATCTATCTTCACACTGAAACTCTAGCCAAAATTGCTTGAACATCGCCATAGTCTTGACTGTTTAAAAGACCCTCGTCCATTCTGAAAAAGCCAAAGAGAAATCCCATAATACTCATGTCAATCCAATCCTTTGATACCGTCTGAAATGAGGTTCACTGAGGCTGGTACGACATGGACAGGACATGACCCTTTCCTGAGTGCTCTCACGCCATATGCTGACTTCTGCACAGATGTGGACTCCCTCGGTCCTGCCTTTGCTCCAGTGTCCAACCTGCGGATGTCCATTGTGGAGTACGAGCGCTCTCCGATCCAGAATTCTCCCTGGAAGGAATCCAGTCTGGACCAGCCTTATCTCAAGGCTACAAAATCTCAGCCTGCTGGCAGCAGCAGCTCCAGGTGAGAGTTTTAAATTCCAGCCTCTGAAGTAATGGAGCTCCATTGCGACTCTCCCATGTCAATATTTCCAAAATGTTTCCCCTCTCATTTTGTCATCTGCGCCAAGCAGTACAATGGGAACGCAGGTCTCGGCAGACTCCAACAGAATTCCTCTCTCGCAGTTCATTAAGAATTCTGCGCTGCGGCACAGTCACTCTGCCAGTGCCCCCTCCACACCAGAGCTGCATGTGCGCCGACAATACTCCCAGTCCTTCAGGTACACGCGACAAAACATGCAAAAAAAAAAAAATGAAGAAAAGTGCACACTACTTTATAAGCGCTGTTGCTAGGTTCCAAAATGTGAAGGAAACATCTTGAGAATTTAAAGGAAGGCAGGGCACATGGAGACAAACAAACATCCGCGGTCACAATCACACCTAGGTAGTCGACTAGTGAGCACGTCGGCCTCACATTGCAGAGGTGCAGGGTTCGATTCCGGCTCCGGGCTTCCTGTGTGGAGTTTGCGTGTTCTCCCCGCGCCTGTGTGGGTTTTCTCCGGGTACTCCGGTTTCCTTCCCATATTCCAAAAACATGCATGGCAGGCTGATTAACACTCTAAATTGTCCCTACGTGTCATTGTGAGCGCGGATGGTTATTCGTCTTTGTGTGCCCTGTGATTTGCCGGCAACCAGTTGAGGGTGTCCCCTGCCTACTGCCCGAAGACAGCTGGGATGGGCTGCAGCACGCCCGCGACCCATGTGAAGAAAGTGTGTGTGTGTGTGTGTGTGTGTGTGTGTGTGTGTGTGTGTGTGTGTGTGTGTGTGTG